GAAAGGAGACATTCAATTAAAGTTTAACTACGGCTCCAAGGCTCCAGGCCCGGCCCTCGCAACCAGGGGCTTCAGAAATGACTGAGGACGGGGGCGCCCGGGGGACTCAGTCAGTTACGCGTCTGACCTCGGCTCAGGTCACGATCTCGCGGTCTGTGAGTTCGAGCCCCGCATCGGGCTCTGCGCGGACAGCTCGGAGCCTGGAGCCTGCTTCGGATTCTGTGTCTCGCTCGCTCTCTGCCCCTCCCCTGCTTATATTCTGTCTCTGTCTCTCAAAAATAAATAAACATATTTTAAAAGTTTTTAAAAAGAGGAAAGAAAGGAATGACTGAGGACGGACAGGATGTGCTTCCTTGAGTCCGGCCTCTGGAAGGCTGTCTGTCCACGCGTGACCCCCGGGTGCCGAGGGGCTCTCCTTCTGGCCAAGGAGATGAGACAGTTCCAGAAGGCGTTCACCAGCCCCCAGTTCTCTGTTGCAAAACCAGCAGCTAATTTTGCCCGTAGAAGGGCAAAAAAAATAACAGAAAAATTCAGGCAGCCTCTTCGAGCCAGGAATGATTCCGTAGGTACAGGCTTAATGTAAGCTGAGAGGAGATTTTCTGGTAAGAAACACCTTGTTCTGAGACGCTCGCCTTCTCTGGCCCCCAGCACGGGCTGTCAGGGCGTTTTGCAAAGGAAGCCACAGGGACACGTAGGCATCTAGCACTGGGAGGGGGTGCCGCCCGCTGGAGGCCAGCGTCACCTGGTCAGACCCCTGCTCCAGGGCTGGCCGGCGGGGCCCCGGGGGCCCTCAACTGACCCTCCAGGGCTGCGGCTTCCAAAGGCACCGCGGTGAGGACCCCCCGAGCCCACCCTTGCACAGCATGGAGGCTGGGGCTTCGGGATGGGGATGCTGGGGCCCGGCTAGCGGTCCGTCGGTGCCCCTGACTCCGGAGCACGGCGTGCTGGGTGCCAGGAGAGCCCCTCGAGTTCGTCCCACATTTCGTCTCGGCGGCCATCCCATCGCAGGGGCCGGGAAGCCCAGGCCGGAGCAGTCGGTGACCTCCAGCGGCCTTGGGGACGGGTTGGCCGTGCCCACCACCTTGCTGCACTCAGGGAGCAGCCTCTCCGACCACGGACGGACAGCCACAGTGACAAGCCCCCTCTTGGAGCCACAGGGCCACACGGTCTCGGGGAGACCGCAAACGTCGGGTCTGCTCGTCTCCGGCGTGGCATGGCAGGACCTTTGTGCCCTCTGCCCGGCACGTTTGCCTCAGAGGCTTACAGGGCAGACTTTCTCTCCACCTGAAGGTGAACCCCACCTGCAGGGGCACGTCCATCACCTGCGTGCGAGTCTCCGGGTGTCCCCAGGGCCCAGCTCTGCCCCTGCATGACGTGTACACATAGTCCCACCAGAGCATCGAGGAGGAAGGCTGGTTCAAGCTGGGCACGGGCCTTCAAAAGGCAAAGGAAACTCCAGCTGCGGTCAGTTCTCCGTTCCAATGGAGCAAAGCTTTCCAGATGTCCTCGGAGGCGCCCGCCGTGTGCGGAGACGAGGTTGCTCGCGCCCTCCGGCAGGCCGTCCCCGTGGGGCGCGGGACCTGGCCTGGCTCTGGTTCTTGTCCCCTTCCCCCCCCTCCCCCCGCCCCGTTCTGGCCTCTGCACACTTCCTCCCTGCTGCTCAAACCCGAGTCGGGTGCGACGCAAGAAGGACGAGAAGGGCCCGAGAGCCCCAGTGCCTTTGGGGCCGTGGAGGTCACACCATCGGTGCCTCTGCTGTAGCTCGAAATCGCCCAGGCCCCACATCAGGGGAGGCTGCCCGCCTGACAGCGCAGCCTCCCCCTCCGATGTCTCGGCGGAAGGAGCTAGAAGCAGTTTGCTGTGTGTGAATTATTCAGAGCAGCCGAAATGAAATGAGGAAATGAGGCGACGGGTACAGATACAGAGAGTCAGAAAATAGATCCTACTCCAAAGAATGCGTAAGGTTGACGGTGAAAACCAATTAGCTCTGAGTTACAGAAACATTATTTGATGAGGTGCAGCCAGTTGTTTCGAGAACGGTGCCCGTGAATTGCGTTTCTGCAGACAGCCTCACTCGCGCTGTTCCGCGGCCTCTTCCGTGATGTTTGCTGACCTCTGCTGCTTTATCACGTGAGCTCCCGGGGTGGGGGCAGAGGGCCCTGGGGCTCGGCCACCGCCGGGGCCCCGGGCCGCACACCTGGGCCGGCACACAGCACGGGCCTGCGGCAGATTGTCAGGGAAGGGCAATCTGTTGCGTCTCCATCTCGTGGACTCGTCTCCACGTGCGCCCCTCGCGCGCGTCCCCACCCTGGCCCCAGACAGTGTCCCTGAGCCGCGGCCTCCACCCACCTGGACTGGCCCCAACCACGGGTGTCACGGACGTGCCTCAAGGCGATCGCTCAAGCCAGCGGGACAGACGCCTCCGCGGAGCCGTGCGATCCCCCTCGTGGTGAAATCATCCCAATCTGGGCTCCGCTGGCTCTGGGTCTGGGGCTCGCTCAGACCATCTCCAAACACGCTGCTCGTTTAAGCTTCTCTGTGAGACTTGTTTGCCCCGAGACGGGGCATCCCCCGTGGGAAAGTGGGAGCAGAGCTGCTGTGTGGACGTTAAGACCATCGGATAACAGATAAACCAGGCAAAAGCTTCAGGGCTCTAGAATTTTCCCTGACGGCGGGACATGGCCCTGGGGCTACTTGGTCTGGTCTAGAATTTTCCTTGACAGCAGGGGCACTGGGGCTGGCAGCCCTGGGGATGTGGACCATGACCTTGCTCGTCAAGGTCACCTGTGACATCGTGCCCAGGAGCCTCCCTCTGGGCGGACGCACAGCATGAGAAGTGAGAGGCAGGTGTGTCCCCGGTGCTGCAGCCACAGGTCAGGCTGACCTGCCAGGTTGGCTGGGCTAAGCCATGGCTCTCCCTACTCGCCTCCCCCTCTGAGCTACCGGACCTCGATGCCCAAGGAGCTAAGGCTCTTCAAGCCTGATGTTCTGGGGTTCCCCGCACAGGCGCCTGCTGTATGGAGGGCCCTGCAGCCGTGGGGGACACAGAGACCCGTAAACCCGGGTGTCTGCACAGAGGGGGGTGAGCTCAGGGCCTTGTAAATGGCCAGAGGGACCCTCCGTTTCCGGGGCTGCTTTGACGCATTGGTCGGTGTGGGACGTAACCACCTGCTTCTGAGCTCGGTTACCCAAACAACCGTTCATCTGTTCACCCATCCAGAATCTCCGGAGCACCTACTATGTGCCGGGTGGTGCTTTGGGCACTGGGGATGCGGTGGTGAAGGCAGGCCCACCATGTTGGGGGTGGAGGTGGAGGGGGCCGCTAGAAATCAGAAAGCCCACGGCTGCTGGCCCCAGGGGAGAGAAGGTGCCTCTCCCGGGAGGCACCGTCCACGGGGATCCGAGTCCCCGGGACGGACGCACGCCTGGCGTATGGGAGGAAGAGCCAGCCAGCAGGTGTGGCTGGAGCCAGAGGGAGGAAGGACAGGGGCGCAGACGGGAGGAGGGGAGGGTCGCCGGAGAAGTTGGGGTGCCCGGTGCCGTAGCCCCTTGGAGAAGCTGGGAAAGAGGGGGGCAGCCGGGGAGGGGCCCGGGGCCGAGGGCAGGTCTGCGCAGGTGGGGACGCTGGGCCGCAGGGGGGCCGTCAGGGGGCCGGGCGGGCAGTTGCAGGACGCAAATCCCCAGGGGTAGAAAGGGACTCACGGAAACCGGGGCCTGTGGTGGGTCCGGGCGCCCCACTCCTGGGAGCAGTAGAGCCTCGGCAGACGCGCGGTGGGGGCCCCGGGGGGACGGCGGCCCCTTTCCATTTGCCCCTGTGTTCTCAGTGCAGAGAGGGGAGGTCAGCGTCAGATGAGGGGGGACTTGGGAGAGGGGGCGTAAGGTCTCGGGTTTCAAGGCAGTGCTGGGAGTCAAAGGCCCCTGGGCAGCCACATGCACACAGAGCAACAGATCGATGGGTTAACCACGCGGGGGGCCGGGCCTGTCGACCGCAGTGAGAAGGTCACTTCTCACGGCACAGGGAGCGAGTGGGAGCGAGTGGGAGCGGGGTGACCGGGAGGGGTCATAGACGCCGTGCAGGTCAGGCGGGGTGGCCATCTGTCGTGAGAGCACGGCCCTGTCTGAGGACTTACAACCCTGAAGGCTGGAGCCAGGATTTGGGAGGAGGAGATACCCCGGGGTGACCAGGTCAAGGGCATGACCCACTGCCAGGGTGGCCCCGGTGGGGGGGGGGCAAGCAGGCCAATGGAGCCAAAGGGCTGAGCGGCCGCTGGGGCAGGACCGTGCACAGAATGCTGCCGGCAGGTTCCGCAGGAGACGGGCTGGGGCTTCACAGAGCGGGGAGACGACAGGGTTGGACCACTTGGAGAAAGAGCCCCCCACTGGGGGACTGCAGGGGGCCAGGTCCCAGCCCCGGGGGGACCAGCCGTCCGAGCAGGAGGGAGGAGGGAGGCGTGGGGCTGAGGCCAGGAGCAACGCGAGGGCACCTAGGTCTCAGAGCTTAAGGAGGCAGCTGGGAGCGATGGCCTGCCAAGCCGGGCTCTCTGGGGCTGGCCACCTCCCTTCTGGATGAGAAGGGTCCAATCTTAACAGGTGGAGCCTCCAAGGGGGCGGGTCCAGGGAGGGGTTTTCAGCAGATGCAGAAAGAACTTTCCCTGGGTGGTGAGCTCCCCACCACTGGCCATATGCAAGCGGAGGGGAGGAAAAATCACCGGCGGGGTGCCTGCTGCGCGAAGGCAGGGCCGGATCTAGCGACCTCTGTTCTGTCCCCGGCCCCCATGGGGTGCGAACCTGAGTCTCCCTGCGGCCTCTGCCCGCTGGACCTTGTTGACGGGCCCTGGGCCATCCACCCGGCACCTCCAGGGCACCGCCCCGCCCGCCCGGGGCCATCTGCTTGTGCAGCGGGCCAGATGGGTTTTCCGCACACCAGCATCCGGCTCCACACCCCCCTCCCCCCCCCGGCTCCCGCAGCCCGAGCGCACCCCCGGGATGACATCTCAAAGTCAGCGAAATGTGATTTTATTGATTGGAGATGCTGGGCGTGTCGATTTCCTGCGCAGGGAAAAGCATGCGCTGCCCGGTCGCTTTCTTAAGTCGTAAAATGCGTTGTGCGCGTAAAAGGGCCTCGTAAAACACCGGCCACCGCGCGCTGCTGGAACCGCTGACTTTCTAAATCAGGGAGATGAGTCTCAGACGAGCCTCGGTCTCCCTTTCTGCTGTAAAACGGTCTCCCTTGAAACTGGGACGGGAGTCAGCCAACATGTCCCCGAGGCTGCCAGAGGGCACAGGACACGGCCCTGGTGGGGGGCCGCGTTCCCAAAAGGTGCCTGCCAAGGCGCAGGGTGGCGGCCACGTGTCACCCTGAGCCTCCCCTCCCCTCCAGGGAGGACCCTCACTTCTCCGGGGGAGAAGCTTCAGGGCCTGGTGCTGGCCCTCCCGAGCTCAGTCCCGGATGCTTCCACCCGCGGGCACGCTGGGTGCTCCGCACAGATTAAGAGAGAGACCCTCCCGAGTACCCACAGGGTCTCTGGCCCGCGGTCTGATGGACGGCCCGTGTTCTCTCTGACACGTTGGATGAGCAGCAGCGAGCGAGCACCAGGTTCCCTCCTCTCCTTCCAGGCGGTACGCGGGGACCCAGGGGCGTCCGGGGGCATCCGCGAGGATCCGGAGGGCTCGGTCCGTCCTGAGCCCCCAGCTCTTTGCCAAAAGGAATGTTGAGCAGGTGCCACGCGTGGCTCACGCCGCTTCTGCATTCCCAAGGCCAGAGTCGGTCTGTGACCCCCATCTGCGTGCAGGGGAGGCTGGGGGAGGTCGTTTCCCGGAGGCCGGGGAGCCAGGAAGCCGGTGAAGGGGACCAGATCTTGCCAAAGCGGTGAGGATAAAAAGCATACCTCCGGGGACCTCTTGGGCCACAGCTTCACGGAGGCTGCAGGTGCAGCGCTGAGTAGGTGACTCAACCTCCCTGAGCTCGTGGCCTTGGTCCCCAGAGGAGAGGCTCACCCAGGTTGGCAGGACTGCGGGGACCGGACGCAACGTCAACACAGGGCGAGGCCGTGCTGCGTTTATGCTGCGGGTACCTCTCACCCTGATCCTGCAGCCTCGCGGGCCGTCCCTTTCACCCCTTCATCCATCCCTCAAGGACGGGGCCAGCCGGGTGACTGGCTCCAATCGTGCACTCAACGTGGGTGGATCGGTAAGTGAGATCCTTCCAGAAGGCACGTGGGCCCTTTTCAGGACAAAGCCAGCTCACGGAGGGGCCAGGTCCGTGACGGACGCCGCCTGCCGGCGGGACAGGACCTCCTTGGGCGCTGGCTGTGCCCCTCCCGTGGCCACCATGCCGCGGCCGGGGACTCCGGTCACCCGTTGGCAGGAGAGCCATCGGGGGGCGATTCAGGCCCCCATCCCGGGCGTGAGGCGGCGGGACCCGGAGTGGCAGCAGGCAGCCACGGAGGGCTCTGAGCGGGGAGCAGGCCACGCTGGCCGTGCCGGAGAAGACGGAGGCAGAGCGGAGGAGGCCTGGCTGCGAAGGCAGCTGCCTGGGGTCACCACGTCAATCTCCACGCAGAGAATGGAACCTGTGTGGCTCCTGAAGCTCACACGAGGGAAGGTGAAGGCAGAGACAGGACTAGGGTCTCTCCGCTGGGCCCGGCTGGACCAACAGGGCGGGAGGGGGCTCAGCCAGGCGCCCCGCGGCAGCGAGCGGCCCAAGCGAGCGGGGCCCCACTTCCGTTTCTCCAGAAAACAGCCAACGTGTTTTCCCGGGCAGTCACACCGGGCCGCAGGAGGCGTGCCGCGGCTCAGACCCGGGTGACAAGTCAGGGCCCCCGGCCGAAGATCCCGGGCGGGGGGAGCGGCGGCTGCTCCCGCTCGTGCCGTGGGAAGAGCCCGAGAACCCGCAGGAGGGGCCCCCGGTCCGGGCAGGAAGCGAGGGACCCTCTGCTCGTCCGTCACCGGCCGACTGCTTCGCTGACACTGGCAGCCGGTTTCCGAGCGTCTGGCCACATTATTTAGCTGCTTAATGACAGCAGGAGAAGCGGAGAGCAATCATGCACGTTAGCGTGCGACGCATTCCACATCCCTAGTTGCGTGTCGCAGCCACTCACGGAAGAGCGCTGTGCACCCCGCCTGCGCGGCCGCGGCTTCCCGAGGACCAGGCCCCCTTGCAGCCACAGCCGGCCGGTTTGTCGGGGGCCCCAGGGCTGCTGCTCTCTCAGGCACAGCCGGAGCCGGGGTGGAGGGGACAGACGCACACAGGAAAGGAGGAAAAGGGGCCGGGGACCCTGCGGAAGACGGAGTAGCAGCCCCCACGACGTCCACGTCCTGACCCCAGAGCCTGTGAACTGTGACCTCACACGTCAGGAGGGGTTGGCAGATGCTGAAGACCGACATGAGCCATCGATGGTTCTGGAGGAGGAGGGAAGACCCAGTGGCCTTTAGGGCTCCTTACCTGAGGGAGGCGGGGGTCAGGGCAGGGAAGACGCTGCTTTAAAGAAGCAAGAGGGGCCCGAAGCAGGGTGTGGGGACCCCGGGAAGGGCAGGGGAGGGAGGGATTGGCCAAGAGCTTCCTCGTGCACCCCCCACCCCTGCGCCTCGCTGCCCGGACGCAGGTGTGCCGGCAGGCCTGTGTGGCTCCTTAGAGCAGGAGCCCCAGGAAGCAACAGGGGGGCCCTCCCTCTGCCCCTTGGGCCTGGGGGTCTCAGGGAGCTTGCAGGGGGGCGGACTGTGTGGGTGACAGCGGGTTCTGTCCACACGCACAGAAATGCGGCCAGCTCCGAAACACGTACGTGGGCCCCCAGGAAGGGGCTCTCTCCTGCCGGGACCCCTACAAGTGGGAGGGGAGCAGGTGTGCTGGGGAGGGCACTGGGCTTGGGTCTGGCTGCCGGGGTGTCCCTGACCATCCCGAAAAACCTCGTCACGTCGCCCTAAAAGACCAAGTGGGGGAAGGAGGGAGTTCACTGATGTGTCCCAGGGGGAGGGGGAGGGGCAGGGGGTGGGTAGACGCAGCTCCTCCCCGCCCCCACCAGCTCACCGCCTCCTGCTAATATCTGAGGAGGGGAGGGCCACGACTAACCCCTAACCACCGTGCCCCCCATCCCCCAGCACAAGCAAAGGCTGGCACTGAGGGAGGCAGAGGGGGAGGGGGAGGGCAGAGGGGGGGGTGCGCAGGGGAGAGGGGAGAAGAAGGGGAGGGGAAGGAGGGAGGGGGAGGGCAGGGCGGAGAAGGCAAGGGAAGATTGAGGAGAAGGGAAAAGGAGTTGGAGAGGGGCAGAGAGTTGGGGGGGGGGGTGTTCCCTGGCCTGGGTCCCTTGGCTGCTCTTTGGTGAAGCCCTACCCCCCTCTACCGTGCCCTTCACCCCAAGCAGCTGGAGCAAAGGTCTGCACGCTTTCCGGAAATGCCTGCAGAGCAAGAGCGGATGGTGACCTTGCGTTTTAACTTCCAGCAACTCCGAGGGATGGAGCCCCCTCCCCCCAGGAGGAAGGACAAACCCCGGGAAGGAACCTGGCCCATCTGTGGCTGCGGCCCGCCCCTCTGCAGGGGGGCGGGCGGTCAGGAGAAGGGCTGTGTGGCGGGACCCCACCTGGTCCTCCCAGGCAGCTGCTGGAAATCACCCTCCACCGTGGGCTCTAACCCTGTGATGGAACTTGACGGAAGGACTGAGCTAAGAGACACCTGGGGGTTAGGGACAAATTTAGACCGTGCGTGCGTGTGAAAGTGCTGAGTCACGTCGCCTGTTTGGAAAACAGAGAGCTAATTAAGTTCGTGTCAGGGAACAGAGGAGGCAGTGGAAAAAACCTGCTCAGCTCACAGAGGGCCCAGGTCCCCCCTCCTGCGGCACGGGGACGGCAGGGCACGGGACGAGGACCCCGGGGGGCAGCTGGCCTCGCCTCCCCAGAGGGAGAGCGGGATCCGGAGAAAAGTCGGGTGTCTGCACCTTGAGGCCTGCCGGGTGGGCTGCCGGAGGGAGGGACTGGACTTCCGGCACCCTCCTCCCGTATGCACCCCACGCTCTGCCCTCACAGCTTATGGTCTGGCGGCCAAGACACGTGTGGGGGACGGCACGGCCCAGCATCCGGTGGCCAGTGGCCGGTGGCCGGCTGCTAAAGGTGCCGAGGGAGCGAATTCATGGGGGAGGCCAGTTGTGTTGGGGGGGGCAGGTGGGGATGATTGGAGCCCAGGTCTGAGCAAAGCCCCTGGCATCTGACTTCGAGTGGCTCGCTTTGCAGACATTTGCAGGCGCCCATCCTGGGACACGCTGGTACAGCGGGGCTCCCCAAGGAGCCCACGTCCAGGGGGGACGTGCGCCCCATTCAAACGTTAACACGCAGGATGGGGCCGTGAAGCTGGGTCCTCTGTTCCCCGCACCGGCCCGTCTTCCAGGCTTCACCCCTCGGCCTTCCTCATCGTCACGGTGTCGGGGGCACACAGAGGGAGCGAGCCCGGGGCCGGAGGTCCTCCCTGCCTCTCCGCCGCCCCTCCTCTGGGAGGAGACGCCCGCCGTGGCAGTGCCGCAACCCCGCGGGCCCCTGGGGGGTGGGGGTGGGGGGCCGTGTGCCTGGAAGGTGCTCCCTGAGCCACCACCCTCAGCAAAAGCAGGGGTGGAGGCTGATTGTAAGCGACGGGGACTTCTCCACACCGTCCGGGAGGTGGGTGGGGGGGGGGGGGCGGGGGGGGCTGACTCCCTCTGAGTCTCTGAGAGGCTGTGGACTCGGCAGCCCGGACTCCCCCGGGCCTGGCCAGCAGTGAGGTTCAGGGGAGGTCCTCGCCAGGGGACAGAGGCCCTCATTCAGTTTGGGGAGGGGGGGATTGGTCCCAGGACCCCTGCTGACATCACAGACGGGTGCAGAGGACCAGTCCGGAACCCTTTCCCGAGGACGGGTGGGCAGGGAGCCGGCAGGTGGGACCACCAGGACGGGACGGTGACTCCCAGCCCCTGCCGTCTGCCCCTGACAAGCTCCCAGCCTCATGGCCCCCTAAGTGCATCCCAACCACCGTGGGCCCCGACGTCCTGCCCTCACAAACAGGCCTTGGCGAGGGCCGTTCCTTCTGCTGGGAGTGGCCTCCTCATCCCAGGTCTCAGATGAATGTCACAGTCACAGTGACACTCTCTCTGTTCCGTTAGACTTGGCCAAGCCACAGATGGCTTGGCGAGCAGGGATGGTTTGCCAATTCAGCTTCCCGGACCCAGACTTTTTTGGCCTCCATTCTGCCTCCCCTTTGTCCTCATGGCCCAAGATGGCGGCCCGAGCTCAAGCCCTCACATCTCTGTCCCAGGCATCAGGAGGAAGGAGAGGACAAAGAAGAAGCAGGTCACAGGGTGATCACCCAACTGCCATTTGGGGACCGTCCCCAGAGCTGTCACATGACACACAACTACTGTCACGCAAGGGATGCTGGGAAATATCTTCTCCCCTGAAAACTGGAGCACCTGGGCCATCTGGCGTGCCTCAGATGCCCCTCGGGAATCTTCCAGCATGTGTGGTGCGCGTCTCCTGCTCCACGGAAGCCGTGCCCAAGCCCCTGCCAAAGCCCCGTCGTGCAGCCCAGGGCAGGGGTCCTGTCTGGGTGATGGAGAAGGATCCCAGGGAGACCCACAGCCCAGGGAGGAGGGGGAACACGTGCCCCTCCCCCCTGCCCGGTGGGCACAGGTGAGCCGGCCCGGGGAACATGACCACGGGAGACGGTTGACCCTGGACCGCGTCCCTCAGGATCCCCACCAGCCCCGCCCGGAGCCAGGAGCCCCGAGGCAAGTGCCACGTGTGGCGTCCGAAGCGAAATCTCTTGCTCCTCGAGAAGAAGGCTGGCAGAGCCCGCGTCTCCTCACCGCCCTCCTGGCTTCCCAAGGTCAGAACACGAGAGGCCCCAGTCCTCCTAGCTCCCAAGGTTTGGGGAGCAGGCTGGGGGGGGGACAGCCGCACGGGGGCCTCCGGCCGAGCGGCGCGGGTGAGTTTGGCCCCAGGCTGATGCCACTCCCTGTGTCCGGGGGAGGGGGGTTGCCAAGGCCTGGACGGGTGGTGGCGTGGTTCTTCCACACCAGGTTCCCAGACTCCGAGCGGGGCCCAGAGAGGCTGAGTGAGGACGGCGGGCAGGGGAGGCCTCTGCTCCTGAGCCTTCCGTCCTCCGTCCTCTCTGGAGCCTCCCTGGAGGAGGACACCCTCTTCTGCCCCAGGGGTGCCCCGGCCCCCTCCGGCCCTTCCTGCAGCCCCGCTGGCTGGGCAGAGAGTCCGGACGCACGCTGGCCGGCATCCGCTGAGCACCCGCTCCCAGCCGGGCCCTTCCAGGCAGGGGCGTGCCAAGCGCTCAGAGGCCCGTCCAGCCCCGGCCTCTCCTCCTTACTCTAGACTCACCCACCGGCATCTGCACGCGGACGTCTGGCGGACATGTCCGCCCAGCGTGTCCCCGTCACCTCCAAAGCCCCCGCGCCGTCCCGTTCACCACGCGTCACCACATTCCCCCCGCGGCTCAGACGGGAGCCCCAGGACGAGCCGTAGGCCCCGCGGTCCCTCCCCCGATATCCGGCCGACGGGAAGAGGTGTCCGGTCACTCAGCCCGCGACAGCCCGCAGGTCCTTCCACCTTCACCGGAACCAGCTTCGCCTTCTGGGCCTGAGCAGATGCCCCCAGGTCCCCACCCCACCCCGCCGCCCCGCCACCCAGCCTCGGTGGCCCGTCAGCGGACGGAGGCTGCAGGCTTTGGCTCCCGCCGAGGTTGGCTCCGAGCTCCCCCAGGGTCTGGCGCTGCTCCGGGGGAGGGTCCCTCCCGCCCGTCCCAGCTCCCAGGGACCCCAGTGGCCCTCGGCTTGAGGCGGCGTCCCTGAGTGTCACTCTGGTCTCACTTGGCCTCCTCTCTCCTTCTCTGCTGAGGACGTCTGCCCTTGGATTTTGTTCCCACCTAAACTAGGATGATCTCATCTCATGATCCTTAACTTAATTACATCTACAAAGACTCTTTCCAAGGAAGGTCATAGTGACAGACTCAGAGTAGGCATATCTTTTGGGGGCCACCGTCCACTCCACTAGAGTGTGTCCCTTGTCCTTGCCATCTTCCAGCATCTCCGCACCTGCAAAAGCTTCACCTCACCTTCCTCCTTCCGAAGGCAGCGCCCTGTCTGTCTGTCTGTCTCGTCATCCTCCTCTGTGCCTGGAGTGGGTGGACACTCTAAATGCCTGTCTTCTGCTCTGAGGAATCCCAGGCAGGGTGTAGGCGGCCAGCAGGAGACCCTGCCAGGCCCCCTGGCCCCAGACAAATAGAAACCCAGGGCGGAGACTGGACCAAGCCGCCCCCACCGGCCGCGTCCACAGGCCCCTTGGTCCGCGTGAGAGCGCGAAGCTCAGGCTCCCCGAGGGGCCTGCACGACGGTGCGCGGCAGGTGCCCAGGCCTCCGCGGCCGGTCTGGGAGCACAGAGGCACGTTGGCACCAGATGTGACTTGTGGGTGGGCACCAGCCCCTCGTCAGGCTGGCAGCTCGTTAAGGCAGCTCAGGAAGCAGCCGAGGGGGCGAGTTCACGGCGGCGGGCGGGGCGCACGCTTGGGTCTGACTCATCATTATTTTACAGAAGTTCAAACACGAGGAGGAGGTGAACGTGTGACCCACTTCTGCCGGCTGATGGGCACCGACACTGGCAGGAGTGCCATGGCAACCAGACGCACGGGTTTCATTACAGCAGCCCACGGCGCTTTCTCACCAAGATTAATGGGGAACAGACACCGTCACCTCTCACAGCCAGGGAAGGGGGGGCGGGGAAGGAACAGCGGGCTCTATTTACGAGCGGAGCCCCTGTGCGCCCCGCCCTCCGCGGCCAGCTGCGCCCACGTACCTGCTGGGAGCCTGGGACACCCGGGGCCGCGAGGCAGGGCCGTGCCCGACCCCCTCCTCTGGTTCCCAAGGCCCCCAGTCCCGTCACCCAGAGCGGACCAGGGTCCCAGCCCGAGCCCCTGACGCCAGACCTGCTCCCCCACCCCCCGCCCTCACTGCCCCCCTTCACTGAACCGAGGCTGGCTACTAACTTACGCGTCTCTTCCTCCAGGGAGGCCTCCTTGACTCCCAGACCTCTGATGTCCAGATGTGGCCCAAAGACACAGCCTCAGTGCAGAAACAGGAGCGTCTTGTTCCAAGTAGGATTGACATTGGTGAGCTCGATGGGGCATCCATTGTGTCCTCCACCCCAGAGTGAGGGCTGCCCAGGTGGGTGTCCTCCTGCCCCGTCTCACCCCTGTGTTGCCCACTCACTCCTGGTTGCCCACCCTCGGGGTGCCATCTAGGGAAGGTTCGCCAGTCTCCCGAACCGCAGGTGTTCAGAACGAACACGCTCCCCTTTCTGGCCGCTCGGACTTTGCTCTTTAGTTTTATTCCTGTGTCCCCGACTTGGAGCTCTTGTCGAGAGGCCCCATCACAGCCCCTCACTGGCCCCACCCTCCCCTGGGAGGAAGAGCCCCTGCCTCCACCAGCACCGCTGGCCCCTTCCCATCCTTCCGGCAGGTGACAGGTCTCGGATCCCCGAAACGGATTCCCGGAGATGTGCTCGGGGAGATACACATCTCGATCTGCAGTCTCATTTGGAATTACAGGTCCACACATGGTCTCAGAGCCCAAGTCAGTCAGGACGGGTCTGCAAGGTCGCAGGGGCTTAAAACAACAAAGGGGTAGGTGTCACTTACACCCAGGGACCCCACGGGTCGGCCCACTCATGGTGCAGGCCACTGGGAAGCCCCGTGGGCAGTGCTGGTCCTGGAGGCGGCAGCCCCGCACCTGCCCCAGAGATCGAACGTCACACCCCCTTCTGCTCAGAGCTCATTGGTCGGAAGCGGTCACGTGGGGGGGGGGGCCCGGAAGTGCCTTCCCGCCAGCAGCTGAGAGGTGGAGAGCCACAGCTACGTGGCGAACCACGCTCATGACATCAAGCCAGGTGGCGCCGGCGTTCAAGGCCCCCTCCAGCAACCAAGGTGTCCTCCCTAGCACACGCCCCGACACCACCTGTGCCCCCCTCCCAGGACTAAGCGCAGGGACTGACTGAGTGCTGGCCCAGTGCTCGGTGTTTGTTAAATTAATAAATCAGGCCATGCAGGGGCTCCTGGGGGGCTCAGTCGGTGAGGCGTCCCACTTCGGCTCAGGTCACGGTCTCGTGGTTCGTGGGTTCGAGCCCCGCGTCGGGCTCTGTGCTGACCGCTCGGAGCCTGGAGCCTGCTTCCCATTCTGTGTCCCCCTCTCTCTCTGCCCCTCCCCCGCTCATACTCTGTCTCTTTCTCTCAAAAAATGAATAAACATTAAAAAAAAACTTAAAAATAAATAAACCAGGCCATGCATAAAACTTGGACGCTTCATGTGTTTAGAAGGCAGAGCCCCCCAAATGCTCTCCATCTGCGTGGGGGGGCATGTCTTGACATGGGACCATACCCACGCCAGCAGCCCCCAGCATGGCTCAGACGACACCCTCCCGGGGTTGCAGCTCAGAGCAGAATCCCCGTCCTGTGCCGTGGAGGGAGGAGCTCCAGGGCCTGGGCTCCTCCCTCCCCCCCCCCCCCCCCCGCTCCTCCACAATGGACTCTATTCCTCAAGGCTTGCCTCTCCAAGTCCTTGGTGCTGCCCCACGGTCCCCCATCGCCTCTCCTGCCACACCAGCCCTCCTCCACTTCCCCCTCCAGACTCGGATCCGGGCACGTCAGGCCCCTGCTCCTGTCCGTGGCTCAGAGAAGTTGGCCTTGGAAGTAACAGAGCGGCCCAGGCACAGCCTGGGGGCGGGGGTCCAGGCTCCAGCCCACAGGGGTAGCTATTCTGTAAACTAGATGCGTTTGCACGGGGTGTGTGCACCCGGGGCTGGATGTTGTGGCTGTGGCACGAGCAATGCTATGATCAGGTAGACCCCTCAGAGTCTGGGGCCACCCAGCCCGCGGGCCCCTCGCCCTCCCGCACCCCTGCCCGACTTCTTCGGCTCCCCTCCCCTTCCACCAAAAGCCCGCTCGTCACAGCTGCATTCGCCATCCAGCGTTGGGATCACTGTTTCCTCTGACCCTCCCCACTTCTGCATGACATTTGCCACAGTGACTCCGACCTCACGGTACTGTGCCCGGTGAGCGGTGAGCGCCTAGTGCTAGGTGGGGCCAGCCAGGGTGAGGGGAGGGATTCACGCGGGAGAAACCCAGGACTCCCTCTGGGCTCTGTGGTGCCCGACTGTGTGGCTCACCTTCGAGGCCTGTGCCATCCTTAACAGAGGGACTATTGAAAGTAGAAGATTTGCAGACGTCAAGTTCAGACAGTGGAGAGCTTGAGCCCGCCATGCAGGAGGGTGTCAGCACCACGGCCAGCACCCCTACCGTCGGGATGTAGGGAAGGGAAGACATCTTGGGGTCCCGTCACCCCTTCACCTACCGGCTGGGATGCAGACAAGCCTCCTCGACAGCCTGAGCCTCATCCCCTCCGCGAGGTGAGGACCCTGCCCACGGGGCTCTTGCGTGGCTCCCAGCAGACGAGGGATAGAAGAGATTCCAGCTCAAGGACGACACTGCTAACTGCTCAATAAAACATGACCTGGGTCGGGGCGCCTGGGTGGCGCAGTCGGTTGAGCGTCCGACTTCAGCCAGGTCACGATCTCGCGGTCCGTGAGTTCGAGCCCCGCGTCGGGCTCTGGGCTGACGGCTCAGAGCCTGGAGCCTGTTTCCGATTCTGTGTCTCCCTCTCTCTCTGCCCCTCCCCCGTTCATGCTCTGTCTCTCTCTGTCCCAAAAAAAATAAATAAACGTTAAAAAAAAATTAAAAAAAAAAAAAAAAAAAAAAAAACAAACATGACCTGGGTCCAGCTCACCTTCCGCAGCCTGCGTGTGCGCAGAGGGCCGGGGGGGGAAGGGCTGGCGTGCCGTCTGGCGCGTGCACACGCACACGCACATACCCCCAGGCACATGGGGGCGGACGGGAGGGGCTTCCCCCGAGGCCAAGGGGCCAGCCACGCTTGCCCCGGGAGAGAAGATGGACAGAATGCACACGAGGCTCGTCTCTGGCTGTGAACTTCTCATCTTGTGCAACCAGTTCTGAGCTGGGCTGTGTATCCTCAGTGCGGAAGATGAGCGGTCAGGTGGCCCCTTTCCCGCGAAGGTCAGAGAAACCCCCAAGCGCCCAGGGACCCCTTTCAACGGCCTCCCCAGGGCACCCCGATGCAGGTGGTTCCCCTGATTTTTTAGGAACTTCCAGGTCAGAAATGGAGCCTACTTGTTTTTGAGAAGGAGATTCATTTATTATTTTCTTTAATTTTTTACTTGGTTTTATTTATTTTTGAGACAGAGACAGAGCACGAGCAGGGGAGGGGCAGAGAGAGAGGGAGACACAGAATCCGAAGCGGGCTCCGGGCTCCGAGCTGTCGGCGCGGAGCCCGATGCGGGGCTCGAACCCACGGACCGCGAGATCGTGACCCGAGCCGAAGCCGGACGCCCGACCGACCGCGCCCCCCAGGCGCCCCTAGAAGGAGATTCATTTAAACATTGCTGGTTCCTCTGCGCTTTGACTCCAGGTTTGAAGGACACGGTTTCCTCCTGTCCTCTCTCTCTCTGCGGCCGCCTGTAACTCACAGCCATCTGGCAAAGTGAGTCGTCGGCAGAGGTCGAAACATTTATCTTCCCTCTCCCTACCTGATCCCTCCAGAATTCAGAAACTCTTAGTGCTGTCATTCCTCATGACAATTTCTGTATTTGCCTGAGACTGGGAAGAATCTGTCTTCCTGGGAGAGGACACAACTGGACGGATCCTTGACCTGGCGTCCTGGCCCCTGGAGGCTTTTCGAAGTGCAGTCTGAGATTCCTCGTGGAAAGTTCCGGCAAAGCAGGTGTAAAACAGCCTGTACGTTCAGTCACTCTTCTCGCTTAAGTAACACTCTCCTTACATCCATCATCAGGCCGACTTTATTGAAAACCAGACTTGGTGCGCAAACAAATGAACCTTAACTGTGTTCAGCTTTGCTGGAGAGGAAAGCCGTGTTTGCGCGATAACCTTTGCGGACATCAGAGTCCAGGACTGCCAGCCGCCTGGGCTTTTGTCTTCTGCCCGTCACCCGGACCGGATCCGGAGTTCCCCCACTTTCCTCCAACGTGTGGCTAGAACCCCCCAAAAGCTGACGTTTCCAAGTTCTTCCCGCTCGTTTGCCTTGGAGTCAGATGGAAATCAAACTGCTCCTCTGCCGA